TTTTTTTTTTTTTTTCAGGAAAATCACGATTTTATCACGATTCTTTGTCATGTTGGTTTTACTATTTTGCAAGTTGTCTGACTAGTACAGCCCAACTAATTTCCCTATTTTAAAAACAAAGCCTTACAAGGTAACAAAATAAAAAATATGACAGACATTTACGCCAAAGTGGGCAAAGATAAAAACTTTATCATTATTTTAACTTTCTTATTCAAAAATAAAAACAAAGATACGCATTCCAAATACATATAATATACATATAAAACAAAGAGTGCTTTGTTTTTCAGGTACAGTAGGTGTATTTAGCAGTAGCATTCAAGAAATTGAATTAACAAATATAAAAATAAAAAAACTATATACACTTTATAAATTATAAAAAAAAAATTTAACAATAAAGGGATAGTTCACCCAAAGTGTAAATTCTATTATCATTCACTCACTGTCAAGTTGTTTTAAACTTGAATGAGTTTCTTTCTTCTGTTGAACATAAAAGTTATTTGAAGAATGTGGGTAACCAAACAGTTGCTGGTCACCAGTGACGTCGATAGTATTTTTTTCCCACTCTCAAATTCAATGGGGACCAGAAACTGTTTGGTTACCCACATCAAATGCGAAAGATAATTTAGTCCTTTACTATCAGGTGTAAAGATGGCCTACATATTAATGAGCCAAACTTGGTAATCAAGTTGGTTGCGGACCCAAAAATTTGTGCAAGGTTTTATTATTATTAAGTGTTTTCTCTGCATAGTGCATACACACCCGACCATCACTGTTTGTTTTCTCTGCAGTACTGGGGTTGAAATGCTTTCAGCATTCTACATGAATAGCGATCCAGCGGCCTCAATCGTTTCGGGTCATTGGAACAAGGTGGCACGCTGCAGAGTGTGGAATTCTTACCTAAAAACCGGTGACGAGAGAAACAAATTCGCACAGGCTCTGTTACTTATCCCATCGACACACATCATTGTACGCCACTTTGACATGAGTCCCAAGGAGGCAGATTTACAGCTGTAGAGGAGATGCTTCCCCCTCCAGCTGCTGGGCCTGCATGGCTCCGCAGGGAAAGGGATACAATGTAATCAGTCGAACAAAACAGAGCACTGGCCTGAACCGTGGAGGATCAACCGAAAAGCAGCAGGGGCCCACTCACCTACCAGTAGCTCAAATCTCCTCTCTGATGGGCGCATCCAGAGAAATCTCAAAGGATAAAAGAGATGTTTGATTCCAGAGATAAAACCCAAGAAGTCAGAACTAAAGGAAGGCTCAGGGTTATGGAGGCCCATGGGGTAGATCCCCAGGGTACAGCTTCTCCATATTTGAGACAGCCGGAGAAGATTATGAGCACGTCAGAATTATTTACTCATCCTGGGAGGTTTAAAAGTAAAAGGGGAAAAAAGAGACCCCAGAGGAGACAATCTGGCCATATGGATTGCAGCTCCTCGGTAGCTTTATTATTGATCCTCACACACAACCTAATTTGTCAGTCAGTGTTGGCCAAGTGCCCGTGAAACATAGTCTGTGCTCTTCCATTTGCTAAAGTTTGATGTGAAAGCATATCAGCATGAGTAGAGCTTTGAAATGATGAGTCTACCTGAGTGGACAAACTGGAGCCGTCAAGTACAGTTACTGTGTTAGCACAGCTAGCCCAGACCGAGCCCTCCAAGGCAAGAAGTGTCCTGATGGGATCTGAACCAACTGTTACTTTTCTACAGGTGTCTTGGTTCCACAGTTCCCCTACAAGACAGAAACACAAAAACACACAGTAAGTTCACCGTAAGAAGACTATCAAGATTCTTGGACTTCAACTATGGGCACCCTTAGGCTCTTAGAGCAAACTTTTTATCCTTTTTACCCAGGAATTGGGTATTTTTTTAGTAGGGCTGAAACGATTAGTCGACATTATCGACAACGTTGGCAATAAAAAAAAAATGTCTACAAATATTTTTGTTGTCAAATAGTCATTTGATTTCATATTACCTATTGTAAGGACCTGCAATAACACGGTTTGACCAGTGTGGCGCTGTAGAGCAAGACTGTAATTCGGGTCTCCCGTATGCAATTTAAGAGAAGACGACACACACTGGGCTTATGATAGTCTGAGTATGAATGCAGCTGAGCCAGATGGTACGGAGAGAGGCGTTTAGATGAATATGTAAATATGTGCTTCACGCTTTCCTCTCAATAACAAAATAAAAACACAACAAAAATTACAGCAGTATGCAGCATCAAGTGCAATAATCAACAATAGTGATTTTTGTCAATATAATTTCAACCCAACCCTGTTTTTCTTATTTTATAATTAATAAAAAAATATTGCTCCTTAAAGGAAAAGTTAATTTCTGTCCTTGGAAGAAATGAACTGCTAATGCAAATTTTGTATCAAGGATTTTATGTTGCCTAAATATACACATGAAATTACAGCTTGATTGGACAAAAATGTTCATGTAATATTCAAATGTAATGTTTTTCCATTACATTTCATAATCCATTTCAAGCTGACATTGCTGTGTCCTCGTAAAGAAGTATACTGAAAACTTTTTTTTAATTATTAATAAAAATAATAATAATTCTCACACAATAAATATAAAAATGGTTTATGTTTGTTTTGATCATAATGAGCTTTATAAATGTAGAACCCAGAAAATACCCCAAACTATTTAATTTTATATACTCTTAAGTTTTATGACACAGAAAACAGAAAAGCAAGGAAAAGTACATGAGTAGCGAATACAATGAGGCCTGTGAAATACCTTGCTTGAAGGCAAATCTTTAATCCTATCTGGTGGAACACTTCAAATATGGCCAAAGATATTCAAAGCTAGTAAATTCATATGTTATTTCCCTTATTAAAGAATGCTTCAAATAGCAGAGCTACAAAAATGTGCTGCATGCTAATTCCCCTGCTTTGCCCTGAGCAAGTCACTTAAAGTAAATTGGTTTCATTAATACTCAAGAGTAAATCCTAGTGTTTGCAAGACAAATATGTATAACTGGTGGTGGAACTGTATAATTTCTGTCTACGTCTTAAAAACATACAGCTAATGCAAGCACTGCAAAGCGTGTTTGTGGACTGCATATCTCCCTCAATAAAACTAGTGCTTTCTATGCTAATGCACTAACAGTGCCATGTTAATAACTGCAGCGTGTTGTGTAATCCAATTTATACGTTTCTCTCCAGTGTGCTCAGAACATGCCAGACTTTTTCCTTGAGTTTTAATCACATGTTTTGCACTGTAGCCACCATGGACACCATTATTGGATGCATTACATAAGCTTTTTTCTTCGTCTTTTTCGCCCCCATCACAGTGTGTTAATCAAGCAAAATTAGAGAGGGAACCGCAGCGAGCCATTTAATTAACATTTCGAGTTGTTTATTTCTGCCTTTGAAACCAGGATAGCTTTACAATGACTTCCGACTTCCTCAGGTTAATTGCATGGCATATTCAAAATGTCAGTCTTCCCACTTTTTTCGTGTGTATGCTTTGAAAACATCCCCTCAGCCACTCGGTACACCCTCTTCCTCAAACTAAGGCAGCCTCAGATTTGCCTCTTTTGAAGCCGAGGACCTTCAGGGGCGGAGAGGACTTATATGGACACTCAAAGCATCTGCAGATGCAGTCTTTACTTTATTGCTCCAAAAGTAATAAAGTGGATGGAGGAGAGACGCTGTTTCATTCAAATGGGCGCTTATTGCTTCTGGGTATAATATATTTACGTATTTTCTTCAGAAAGGTAGACACCTCATTATTATCCTTATAAATTCTGCATACTGTTGATTAAACACAACAAAATGATCTTGCCCTCTTAATGTACCTAGGGAAAAAAAGGGAAGATAAACTCAAAATCCCCCCCCCCAAGCAATTTCGGCTTGCTCATACGTTTCAAAAAGCTTTCTGATTAATCTCATGTGAGATCCCAGTGTTTATTACTATATTAACTATATTAACTGCTCCACAGAATAATTTGTTGAATATATTTGTTTACCCAAATAAATAAATAAACACATTTTTAAAAATCCAGCCTGTACTTCCCAGGGAATATATCTGTTAGTAATTTCTTTCTTTCCACTATATGAATAGTAATATTCAATCGCCACACTGCACATCAGCCTAATTAATCTTACTTTCCACTTCACTGGAGGTAATTCCTTGTTGACAGCCAGGTAAGTAATGCATTGTGATAAACCCATTGTGCCAGGGTTGTCTGCCTTGCACCACCCCTAACATACACGTACACACACAGAGCGCAGTCCTTCGCTATCTATCATGTCTCCGATTGCAAGAGTTCTGCATGCCCACCCGTCTTCTGTTGTCATTCGCCCACACTTACGTACTGCAAATGAATAAGGCACAAGCACGGGCAGAGGAAAGACTTGTGAAATCATAAATTGCTTTCAAGGTAATCCTGAATCCATTGGCTTTCTATCTAACTAATACATACCTAGAACAATCTTATCACCCCCGTCTCATCTCTGAATGCATTCAGAATACATGACAGAACTAATATCTTTCACATACTCACTGAGGCATTCAGCTAACAGAGGAGGGACCGAAAAAACATCCTTGAATGTTTGAATGGAAGGTTGATGAAAGAGCAAATTGAACACGGGGACAATCAGATTCATTTGTACTATTAATTTGATTTGATTACCCTTTTACTCTATTGAGTCCCTTTCATTTGGGGACATACTAATAATTACCCTTCTTAATTATCCCACCCATTTAGTGTTTAATCCCATTACTGAGAAAAAAGAAAGAGAAAACATACTGAATATAACTGTCCATTTCTGTGCTAATGTGATAAAGAGAAAAACAAGCCTAATAGGATAGAAATAACATAGACGTTTAAATCCTAAGTGATTATCCACAATCCTAAACAAACGCAGGCAATGTATGGAGAATAAATAAGCTTTGTTTTGGATAATGCATAAAAGCAAAAGAGAAACAACTACATACAGCCTGACACAAATTATGAGGCCTTGAATTAAATGCAGAAATATCGCAAATTACTAGTCTTGTTCACATAAAAGACAAAACAACTGTAAACAACTTTAAAAGTGATCCATTTTAATATTTTTGATTTGGCTACTTCCGCATTACATTTCTAACTTGAAAGCATGACAGCTGGAAACTAACTGAGAAATAAGAGCTTCTCAGCTGTACTTGCAGGCACTAATAGGATAGAAATAACATAGACGTTTAAATCCTAAGTGATTATCCACAATCCTAAACAAACGCAGGCAATGTATGGAGAATAAATAAGCTTTGTTTTGGATAATGCATAAAAGCAAAAGAGAAACAACTACATACAGCCTGACACAAATTATGAGGCCTTGAATTAAATGCAGAAATATCGCAAATTACTAGTCTTGTTCACATAAAAGACAAAACAACTGTAAACAACTTTAAAAGTTATCCATTTTAATATTTTTGATTTGGCTACTTCCGCATTACATTTCTAACTTGAAAGCATGACAGCTGGAAACTAACTTAGAAATAAGAGCTTCTCAGCTGTACTTGCAGGCAGCATGAGTGTACAATATAATGAAACATCAAGCGTTATGAAACTCGTACCTCCGGGATGTCTCTCGTACACCATCAGTGTTCCGTCCCGTAGGCCAGCGAACAGGAAGTTCCCAGAATGTTTGAGACACAGAACTGGACAGCCCTCTGGGTTACGGAGAGTCACAAGGCATTGGGCGGCCGTGTCCATACTGCCATAGACCAGAATGCTTTGGGAGAAAAACATTGAAGGATATACAATATAACAACATCTTTTTGGGAAGAAGTATAAAGAACAACTAATGCCTTATTTCCACTGTGCATTTGCCTTGATATTGTGAAATGATATTTTAAAAGGAAAAAATCTGCTCTCTGTAGCTAATCAGTCCCTTTCATTTGCATAAAGAATATCCCAGAATACCTATTGTTCTTCTCAGCCTTCATAAATGATTTAACTTACTTAGAAAATCACTGTGATTTTAAGTGAGAAATTAATTTAATTTCTGCCAAAATGACTGCACCTCAAAAACTTCTCCACAAAGCACCACGAAAAGTACCCAAAAGTTTTAAACAAGGTAGTAAACTTTTGCTGTTTTAGCACTACAAAGACTGCATCTGAAGTTGCATATATACCACAAAAAGGTGCATTTACACTGACTGCTGCACACAGATGGTATAAATGCAATTGCACATATACAAAGTTAAGTCTTTAATCCTTTTTAATAATGAAGTTGTTTAGATTATAAAAATTTTTTTAAGTATGATGTATAATTTTTCAAATTTACAAATATTTTGTTTCTTCATTAATAACAATAAATGACTTTGGAATCGCTAAAACTCATCCAAAACTCTTTTTAGCCTACTGAAGATAGTCGTCACCTGTTTCTTATCACCGCAATGTCTGTAATGGCACCTTAAATCTCATTAAAAGGCTTTTACCTTTCCCGATTTCCCTATTGCTAGACATGTGCTCAAAACAAACAGCCAGTAGGCTATTAGACTTGGCTACCGCTTGGTTCTCACAGCCAAGTGAGCTGACAGGAAAATAAAGGAAGCATTGATGAGGCACTTCATTTACATAGAACCAAAGCAGCATCAATATCTTTGATAATAGTGTCTAGTTTCCTTAGAGCAACCTTAACTTGGCTGTGTATAGATGCATTTAGATATTTAACAGGTACTTTAATATTTTTAATTGAAGAACACAATACATCTTTTTATATTTATATTTTCATATTATATTATTACCAGCCATCATCAAGTCCCACACAGATAGTATTTCCAACTCCCGTGGAGTTATGAGGGCCGGTTTCAGCATCCTCTGAAGGGGTGGGCTCAGGCACATACTCCAAACACCTCACTCGAGCTCCCATCTGGAGGGATTTTACAGGCCGAGGTGTGGGTCTGTTCAAGGAGAAGATGTCCACCTGGCCTTGAGTGGAATCGCCTCCACCGGCTACCTGCAAAAACAGAGCAAGGACACCGCTATTACAGGTAGTCATCCAACCAAAACCGCTCTCACATCCATGACTGTACAGGTAGAGACAGAAAATAATAGAGGAAGGGAAGGGCTTTCTGTTTTTCTGCCACTTTAAACCACTCCCTCGCCATTGTGCTTTCACTTCCAGTGCCGAGAACCACATGGAGGAAATTTCAAACGGCAGAAAACTCTTTCACTTCCTGTGTACTTTAATGCTTCCCAGCCCTGTTATTTTATTCCTGTCAATTTCAATATCAGGGTAACAGCAAAGTTAAAATCATATATCTCATAAAAATCTAACCTATAGTCATTGGCTTGATAAAGTCTCTAAAATTCATACTCTATCACCCCTAATACATTCCCAGCATCAGCTCTATAACTTCAAACATCTTTTTTGAAACTCCAGGGATCTTTTCATCGCTGAACCAGAGGAAAAGGTGGGGTGGAGAGATGTCTTTTGAAAGCCGCTGAGCTGTTTGACAATGGAGGGTTTCCTTTGGGCTGATGATTGATCGCCTTCTTAAGACAGAGACTGCGATGACAAACTCGATCCTTGGTGAAATTACATATAGTTGACAGAATAAGACTTCAGCACAGTGCTGCTCATAAATCCATCCTCTGGTGCCTTGCCTTAACAACTGATCTAAGTTCCGCACCCATTCATTTTTCTACTGAGTTGCTTTAAAATGCAGACTCTTGTAACACATTTGGATTGCATTGCATCATAAATTAATAATCCCCCAGTTTGTGAAAAATAGTGTTTGTCTTCGTGCCCTGCACAGCCGCTCTCATGGTTACTCTTTCATGCATAATGCAATGGAAGCAACCCGCTCGCTATTAGAAATTAAACGAACTGATCAGCATCCCATCATTGCCTCATCTCTTCTTGTGCGGCACTAAACTGCTCCAATTACAAAATACATACAACAAAAAGCCTTTGAGAGGTGGTTTAAAGGGGAAGAGTATTACAAAGTCTGCTGGCCTCAATATAAACGGCACTTGTTTAGGGGCCATCATTTATGATTACCTCAAGATACTGAGCGACTGGGTTTGGTTGAGTGGAGTGTAATCTCAACCAAAGAACAGGAAAACAACGGCAGAGTGGGAGGGATGCTGCCAGACAACAGAGATTAATTCTCATTCTGAATCATGTTATGCAAGCAAAATGTCCAGGCTAAATATAGTCTTTAGCCTTACAGTTCCCCTCTAATTTGCAAGCAATCATTTGTCTGATTTGTATCACAGCATAGAACCTGGATGGCCAAGGTCTCATGGGCTGAGAAGAGCGAGTCAGAGCAAATAACGGCCTGTTGCGGCAGCGCAGTGGGAAATAGGGAGGGCTTATCTTTGTGCAAGAAGCTCAGAAAATAACTGAATCTCTCTGCGTTTTTGCTACTCAGACGCAACCTCCAGCTGGCCCTTGTTCTCCCGCTTTTTTCACACAGGCGCAAATCCATGTGCGTGAACTCGACGATGATCTACCCCCTCCTCTTTCGATCCAATTCCTCCACAGACTAGGTGGAATTACAGTTCCCTGACAAATTCATCAGTACTTGTTTGGAGGAGTGGATATCTGGAATCATGCCCTGGACGCATCTCTGTTTTTTTTTGGCCAGAAAGCCGTGAAAACCAACCTTAGAGCCAAAGCTCTGGACAACCAAGCATTAATTAGGCTAAAACTGACTAAGAGCCTAAAGGGAGCAAAGGTAGTCTAGGGAGAAAGACTTCATCTGTTTATGTATACACTAGCCACATTCAAACATTTGTCTCTGACATCCTTTATGAAAAGTTTTAGATTTGTTTGGATTTGTAGCTGACAAATAGAGAACAGCAAATAGGAAAAAAAAATGCTCTATCTAGATCTATCTATCATCTATCTATCTATCTACAAAAAGTAGTGTAATTTATTTTTGTAATTCCTCTGTCCTTAGCAGCACCTCAGTCTCTACCCCTGTAAACATTTTACAGGAAAACCTGCCCCAAAACCATGGCATTGGCAAGCAATGAAAAAAAGCAACTACTTATTTTTATCATTACTAACCAACTAAGTAAATAAAATCCCAGGAAGTAGACTGTGAACACAGGTTTAAAAAAAAAAAAAATGAGCCTCAGCCTTAGAGGTGAAGAGGCTAAGATGAGCGAATTTGGCGGATGACTGGCTGGCTTGCTGTCTTGGACTGATTAGAAACAATGTCATTATTTTGATCTAAGCCACGAGAAAAAACCCAGCAGCCCATCTTGGAGTGATCTGATTACTGTCACTGCTCATTTGGAACGCTAGCAGTGAAAACAGGCTGTTGTGATAAGATGATGTGCTATCACTGACTTATAAGTTGGGAAGTAGCAAACAACTGAATCATTTCCCCTCTTCTCACATCTCTCAGTCCAGCTCAGTTCACCGAGAAAATGACACCTGCTATAAGTGGAAGATGTGTTGATTGCTTTAGGGGTTCCTTTAACCCTGCTATAGTTTAAAACCAGACCTTTGGCTAGCAGGATAAAGTTTGGTCCACATCGCAGCTTATTATGGTCAAGATATTGCAACTTAAACAATCTAAAACTGTCTTCGACTTGGGTTCACAATAACAGACCTGTGTGGAGAAAAAAGACTGTACAGAAAATAAGTAATAAATAAGTAATAACATAATAAATAATGATTTATTTCTTTTGGAAATACTAGCTTACTTGCTACTAAGTGCCTTAATCTTATAGGATGTAGCAGACCAAGCCTACATGCCTACCAAGCCTACACAGCTCCGAAGCACAGAAAATAAGTTTACAAATGCTGCATAATAGCACATTTTAACACATTTAATGAGAAACACTGGCAGCCCCACCGAGACTAAATGGACGCACTGAGATATATTAAAAAAGTGACCCCTACGATTTAAGCTGCAGAGTGAGATTTAGATTTAGAATCAGATAGTGAAATTATATTTTGGATATGCAGAACTGAGGATTTTTGGCACCAGAAAGAGGTTCTAATCCAGCCAGATATAATTTCCCACTTAATGTCTCCTTGTATCTTTTAAATCCACCCAAGTCCAACCTCAATGCTCTTTAGAATACCCACAAAAACAATTAACTCAAAGACACAGGCAAGGGCGTCTTTTTGTGCCCAACCAAGGCTCGAATTGGATTTATCCCCCTGCTTTAGGGGATTATGTGATAAATTGCCCACTGCTCCAGAAGAGGGAGGAGAACGAGACTACTGTGTGAAACTTTTAAAGGTGATTTCACAGGGCTTGTTATGAAAACCCGTTTTATTTTGCAGAGAAAAGCTCTTTGCAGAATATAGGACATAACCACTGTCACTTAAGTTAATGCTTGTTGGTTTTAAACAACGTCCAGAATTAAGACCTGTTTTGCATAAATGTGATTTAATGGTGAGGAATAATAAATACGGTCTCTTTGATCTCTGACGTCACTATTGTGTATGATAATATGTATATATTTTATGTGCTTCTGCTTCTACTTACCCAGAGGTAGCCTTGAGGAAGCGAAGTGCTCGCCGCTGAGAAACCAAGTAAAGCACATTGAACAGGATTATGAAGAGCAGCCTCCAGCTATGAAAAAATAAAAGAAAAAACATTTAAATCTCACCTAATGAATAGACCTGAGAATTAAACATGTTAATTTAATGCAATTATTAATATAAAAAATAAACAGAGTCAGCATTTGTAAGACAATTTAGCAGTTTAAATTTTTCATCATTCAAGTTTTGCTATAGCTCAAACATGATTCAAATAACACCAAGGTTATAGGATTCGACTCCTAGGGAATTCATAAACTGAAAAGTTATTTAGCTTGAATGCAGTGTAAATTGCGTTGGATGTGTAAATGTAAAGACATAAATGAAAACTTTGAACAAATAAAATGTAATACTTACTTAAGGGATGTTTAGATATTTTTACAGCAAAACAAGACAAAACTACTGACTAAGAAAATGATTTTCTGATTACAATGAAGCAATGTGGCTCACTTCAAGTGGTGGGTGGCATATTTACGGTGACCATAATGGTGCGTGATATCACGCCATGTTAACAGACCACAAACAGCCGCTGTTTGGGAATGTTTATATTTAATGTGAGAATGAAAGCTGGGAGAGATGGCAGAAAGCATATCTAATTTAATTAGGACTGAATATCTTTCATGTTGCCCCCAGTGGAAACTGGCCATCAATCGCTAACTATTTCCAGCAGTCATTTCCCATTTTCCCCACTTTTTCAAAGTGCAAACATAAACAGGTCCAAACTAATATTGGAGAAATTACAAATTCAATCAGGCATGAGCTCTGCCTCTCCATTCTCCGAACCCTTCTTTTTCCATGAGCATGCAAAATTTCCTTTCCTCTTGCATATCTACAACTTATTCCATTTTTATATCATTCATCCATATGCAGTGACAAAAAATGTCGAATTTGTAATTAAATGCCAGTCATGGCAGGAGCACATATGGCAGCCTGCGGGCAGCAGAGCTCGGCTGGTGGGGAAGGGACAGACTGTGGCTTTCTGAGTCATATGACAACACTGTTGCTCAGTGAGGAGCACAGGTAATCTTCACAGGTGGAGATTGCTTTGTCTTTGTCCATTCTCCGATGAATAGCAAGTGCATTTGCCTGAATATCTGCTTCAGCCGCAGTCCCTCAGGGTCTAAGACACATGCTACATGATTCCCCAGCAACATTTATTCTGGGTTCTCAAACGGCACCTCACAGACTCCTGTCTGACTGCAGAGGTAATATACTACTGCTGAAAACTGACTCAATCTAGCCCATCCTGAATGCTTCTTTTAATGTATGGAATTTCAGACGTGCTTTGTGACCTGTAGCACCTCATAATAACCTGTCAGAGTGAAGGGTTACTTTGATACCTATGCTTATTATACAAGTATGGGTGAAATCAAATGAATAAGATGCTTAGAGTGTATTTAACTACTGATCTTTACTTTAAAACACTCTAAAACATAAAATTACTAGTAAATCGTCAACATCAACCTCAGTTTGCGTAACCCATTAAAGAGATTGACCAAAAACAAGGGAGAAATACATTTCATGTTTGTATTACTTCGCATCATGCTAAAAAGTATGTAAAGTAATACAAGTAATACAGTCTGATTCTTTTAGCAATTTTAAAGAACAAATTGTTAAATAAATAAATAAATTCCAATCAGTTAATTATATAATTTACATAAACACATACATAATTATATAAATAATTATACGTGTGAATAATTATTATAATATTTACATACAGATACGCAAACATACACACACACTATACAGTATATATATA